AGCTGAGAGCTGAAGGAGAACACGAGGTAGAGCAAAGCCCAGGACAGAATAATGATGTAGGTCATACAGGTGTAGAAGAGGATTAGTTGTCCACCATAGCCAATGCCTGAAAGGCCACATTTATAGGCAATTTACGTATGACTCAGACTGTTTGTTGTTTCCTTTCTTTCTGATTTTCACTTTCACCAGTTCCTTTTGACCATGACTAAATGTGTAAATGCAGTAAGCTGCTACCATAATGCTCTGATTAAATATTTGTATTAACGAGCATTAAATATCAATATTGAATATTTGTATTAACGAAATATTAATACAAAATGTGTCAACACACCTGAATCAAATGATTAGTTCATTACCAGGCAAGACATGGTGTGTAGGTCATTTAGCCGTTTAAATCAGTTGTGTTGGATCAAGGACACATCTAAAACCTGCCGGACACTGGCCCTTGAGACCTGGAGTTGCCTACCATTGCTGTAGCCCCTTCTCCCTGCGCATTTTATATATCACTTGGTGTTTGTGTAAATAAACTCAGACATCTCAGACTCCTGCTCTTCAGTCTGCGGGTTCACCTTGACAGAACTAACTAATGCTCTTGTGCAACTCTGTGACTCAAACTGGCCATTTGTAAAAAAAAAAAAATTAAACCGGGACATGCTGTTTACTTGTTATAATAAAGACCAACTTCCTCCAGCATGTAATGCCACCCTCCTGGGTGAACTGCCCTAAAGTTTTCTCCAGCAGGAACACGGGTACACCACAGGTTACCACAAATACCAGATATTGCACCAGGAATGCACCTGAATTTATAACACAATACAGAAAAAACACTTCTTCTGTCCAGTTTCTAGGTAACAGCAATGATCTAAAACAATAAACATGGACCTGATATATGGTTTTAGCACAAGTTAACCAATGATACAAAAATTCTTTATTGTCATTATTCAGTCACGTAGCCAACGTTAAGAACATTGTTTTCTCAATGTGAATCACAAAATGATCCTTGTGCAAGCAAACAAGCTTCCCAGGAACTCAATGGAGCAGAGGTCATACATCTTCCTTTCTTTCCCCTAAATCTGATTCTGACAGATTTGAGATAATCAAGCTGCTGCAAGATCAAATATTGGAGAAGAAATGGAGAAGAGAATAACTACACCAAGTCTGAAGTCATCTCTTAACCTAAAATGTTAAAGATTGTGAATTTTATTTTCAATGTGGGTACTGGCTGAAATTAATTTACTTTTCTTTTTAACTGAGCACCATTGAGTCCATCTTTGATAGATAAATTCAGAACACCTCAATAAATGTAACAGATCTTGTTAACTTCATCTTCTTTGAATCCTTACCATCTAAACAATTCAGATCCTGTGTGAAAAGGTTAGACCTTAGTGTTAAGTAAAAAGCTCATCAAATATTTTTACTTTTATGTGGCAG